ATTTTATTTTCTTATTTTATCTAAGTATATGCACTGCTTAAAACATCAAGGGAACGCTCAAATAACACATCTTAGATCTGAATGAACGCAACATTTTCACTGAATACATTTTTCTGTACAAAGTTCTGGTGCTGAAAACAAAATGAAACAAAACAAACGTAATTAAAGTGGAAACAAACAATAGAGGCTGAACCGGCTTTGATGTAATGTCCTTAAAACGGGTCAGAATGAGTTCCAGTATTGTGTGTTCCTGTATGACCTCCCTGCAATGCCTTGGATGAGGCAGTAAATGGTCTCTGAGGGATCTCCTCCCAGACCTGGAGTAAAGCATCCGCCAACTCCTTGACAGTCTGTGCTGCAACAGGATGTTGGTGGATGGACGGAGATATGATGTCTCAGATGTGCTCAGTCAGATTCAGGTCTGGGGAATGGGTGGGCCAGTCATAGCTTCAATGGTTTCATCTTGCAAAAACTGCTGAGACCAACATATGGTCTCACAAGGGGTCTGAGAATCTCATCTTGTCTACCTAATGGCAGTCATGCTACCTCTGCTGAGTACATTAAAGGCCATCTGAATCCATTACTGACCCGCTGCCAAACCGGTCATGCTAAAGGATGTTGCCGGCAGCAGATCGCTCTCAACGGTGTCTCGAGTCTCTGTCACGTGCTGAGTGTAGGAGCCGAAGCGCACTGAATGATATTTTTATTTGTAAGAGGCTCATATTTACTTTTATTGTGTTTATATGTTCAGTTTTATTCAGCCAAGAGCCTGATTTCAGTAATAGGTACTATTATTTTTTGCTGTGTTATTTGATATATTAAGTATAAGGAAAGGTTTATTTTAGACTTGTATTAGTCTACTATTGGTTTTCCGCCTTTTAAGAGGCCTGCGTTCTGTCCTCACAGGTTTTTTCGGCAGCGTTTTGTATTTCCGGGTCAGTGCGCCGGAAGTAAAGAGTAGCCACGGAGGCTAACAGTTTTTGTACCGTAGCCGTTTTATAAGTTTATTAGGACATTATCAGCCAACTTTGGATAATTTTCTACCGTGGATTAACCTTGGATCACTCCTGTAACGGAATAACCCTGTGGAACTAAATAAATGTTCGTCTGACGTTCTTTACATCGGAGTACTGTGGAGTTATTCACGGCTAACACCTAGCTACGGCGCGAGTAGCATAAACAACGTCTCCTTTACCTTCGGCCCTCACACTGAGTGTGAACCTGCTTTATCTGTGAAGAGCACGGGGCGCCAGTGGAGAATTTGCTAATCCTGGAGTTCTCTGGCAAATGCCTCGCATCCTGCAAGGTTTTGGGCTGTGAGCACATTCCCCATCTTTGGATCAGGCCCTCATACAATTCTCATGGAGTCAGTTTATGCAGACACATGCCCATTAGTGTCCTGCTGGGGGTAATTTTGCAGGGCTCTGGTAGTGCTCCTTCTGTTCCTCCTTGCACAAAGTCAGAGTTAGCTGGCCTGCTGCTGGGTTGTTGCCCTACTATGGCCCGGGCCACTTCTACCGGTGTAATGGCATGTTTCCTGGTAGCGCTTCTGGACATCACACTGACAGACACAGCAAACCTTCCTGCCAAAGTTCACATTGATGTGTCATTCTGGATAAGCTTCACTACCTGAGCCACTTGTGTGGGTTTTAGAGTCCTTCTTATGCTACCACAAGTGTGAAAGCACCACCAACATTCAAAAGTGACAGAAATGTCAGCAAGAAAAGCATAGGTATTGAGAAGCAATGTGTGGTCCCCGCCTGCATAACCATATTTTACTGGTAGCAGATTTTTTTATTTCAATGTTATGTAAACTTTCAAGCAGAACTGTATGTCTGACACTTACAAATTTGATCTTGGGATGCAATATTAGAAACAACATTATGTTATTATGCTAAAGTGAGAATTTATTGTAAGACTGGGTGCTTAAGTAGAGCAATTAAAATGTGTTTATATTAATTAATTGTAGCAAAGATTAACTACAGTAGACCCCAACAAAGAAATGCTAAAAATAGTCCACGTGAATATTTTTTCACTGGTCCTGTGACTGAATATTAATCACAACTTGACAAAAATGTCTTATGTTGACTGACGTATTTTCTGCTGATCTAATATGGTTCTCTTCTTTAAAGGGATTCACCTTCATTTACTGATTATCAGCTTTCTAGGGGATTCAGATCTTGATAGATTTTAAGGAACTCCAGATCCTTGCAGCTGTTCCCTGATGATGTGGTCCTAAAGAGCAGTGGAATGTGTCCTAACCTGATATCAGAGGTTTGATTGTGCTCTCAGAAACTCAACTAGCACTAGACACACACTGAATTAAGGAAGCTATTATTTACTCTGGGCCAAAAAAGGAAGGCGGGCCAAAAACCTCAACAGTGTCCCTTTCCCCTTCATTACATTTGGGTGTAATCTGGAAGTTCTTTACCTTTGCAACTAAAATAGTAATCATCTCCTTCACTGTCTCCTCAATCAGATGGTCAATCTGGGAGTGGTATTGTCTCTAGAGAAAAAGACAAAGTATTAGATTTTTTATTCACATACAAAGGAAAAATAGACAACTTTCCATGTTTCTAAATCCATCCATCCATCCATCCATCCATCCATCCATCCATCCATC